AAGTTTTCCATTATTTTTCTATTGCTCTTCTACAGCACAGGTATGCCTTCACCTATGCCCTCATTGAACCTCCAGAGGTAAAAATCACAGCCTGGGAAGTGAAAGAAAGAAATAGAAGTATTATAATAACAACTAACCTGATTTAATTCTCAAGGTTCTAGTATGAAAGCTAAAACTGCCTGATGGATGCTTCCAAGTTGTTATCTCCATTTATGTCCCTAGGGAACATTTCAGAAGAGGAAGTGATATGAAGATCAGAAGCAGATGATGGAGTGCTGTAAAACACCATCTTCCAGACATGACAGCCACGGCACTCCTGATTTTCCAGCAGTTGTGATCACCTACACAAGACCTGTACAAGACAATCTCTAGGCACAGAGGAGGCAGGAGCTCAGGAGACCAAATCCCTTCATGAGGAGCTATTGGTAGTTATGGTTGCTGGAGGAGGGGAGACATTTTCTCCAGTGGTGTAACCACCCATGCTCCTGTAAAGCAATCCTAATGAAACTCATTGGGTCATTGAAAAGAAAAAAAAAAAAGATGAAAGTAGAAAGGGGCTAGCCTTGGAAAAGGCTAAGTGACAGTGAGATGGGGGATGAGATGTAATGTAAGGTGAATATGACCAAAATACATCATACACATGTATGGACAGTTCATAATGAAACCCACTATAATCTACATGCTAAGAAAAAACCCAGCAATAGACCAGCAATAGATCCAGCTCTAACACCCCTGAGTATTCATCCAAAGGATTCCAAGCCAACCTATCATAGAGACAGTTGCACATCAGTGTTTACTGCGGTACTATTAACAACAGCTAGGCTATAGAACCAACCTCGGTGTCCAACAGGATACCTAGGAAAATGTATATGTACAATGTGGGAAATGTGGTACATGTACACAATGAAATAGTGTTCAGCCATAAACAAGGATGTTGTTTGCAGGAAAACTGATGCAACTGGAGCTAATTATGTTACGTGAATTCAGCAGAAAAATAAATATGTATTGTAATATATAAAAGCAAAACTGTCTAGTAGGGGTATGAAGCAGAGTATGTTCAATACGCGATATGAACAAACAAAGCAATACTTTAAAAATAAAAGTCAAAGATCAGAAGTCATTAAGAGATCAAAAATATTGCTCACTACTTCTAAAGTCCTTTAAAAAAAGGTACAGACCTTGGGACTCATCAAACACCCCAAAGACAGACTTAGGAAAAAATACAGTTATCCGAAGAAAGACATTATATATGTAATTATTATTAAATGCACAACTTTATGTGCAATAATTTTTCCTTAGACAGGGTCTCACTATGTAACCCTAGCTGGCTGGGAACTCTCCATGTAAACCAGGCTGGCTTCAAACTGAAGAGATCTGCCTGCCTCTGCCTCCCATATGCTAGGATTAAACGTGTACACTGCAATGTCTAATTCATGTACAATAAAATTTTAAGTCTAGAAAAACTAGATGATTTTCCAAAGGAATATAAATTTAATTTTGGGCATTTTTTGAGACAGGGTTACTCTGTAGCCCCAACTTGCCTGGAACTTTCTATGTAGACCATGCTATGTTGACCTCTCAATCTCAGAGGTCTGCCTGCCTCTGCCTCTGCCTCCCTGAGTGCTGGAATTAGACTAAAGGTGTGCACCATCATGTCAGGCATTTTAAAATAACTTTGATAATTAAAAATATATTTTATTATTTTTATGTGTATGAGTGTATTGCCTGCATGTATGTTAAGTGTACCTGTGTTGTGCAATTACTTCAGAGGTCAGAAGAGGGTGTCAAATCCTCTGGAACTGGAGTTATGGACAGTTGTTCACCACCATGTGGGTGCTGGAACCGAACCCAGGTCTTCTGCAAGAGCAGCCAGTACTCTCAAAAGTCTCAAACACTGTGCCAGCCCCTGATTTTTTTTTTTTGGTCTTTTTGAGACAGGGTCTCCCTGTAGCCCCAACTGTCCTGGAACTCACTATGTAGACCAGGCTGGCCTCCAACTCCGCCTGCTCTGCCTCCCAGGTACTAGGACTAAAGGTGTGTGCCACCACGCCCTGCAATCAATTTTTTAAGGTAGAGAATATATTACTAACTAAAGAAGAATTTGAGATGACAGTAAAAAAGTACTTTAAAATGTTTGTAGTATGGAAATTTTCAAGTTTCTAAGCAATTCCCACGTTACACAAGACAGGAAAACCAAGAAAGCCATTCACTGTACAAGGTTGAAGTCTCCAAAACCACGTAAGCAAATTCTAGTTTCATCTGTAAGTGTAGATGGTAGGTCCTGAATGAGGACAAATCAGTCAGATGAACATTCCTGAATACAAGGCCTTACAGAAGGGTTGTCGCATTAGAGAGTAAATTACCATCACTCATGGTTCATATGGAGGTCAGTGGACAACTTGAGTCAGTTCTCTTCCAGCACATGAGCTCTAGAGATCTGTCAGGCTTCACAAGCAGGCACCCACTAAGCCATCTCACCAGCTCATAAATGGGTTTTTAACAAGTTCCATTGTTTTTCTCCAACTACTTTTTCAATAA